CTTACGAGGAAAATATTACCACGCCTTTACGAGGAAAACTTTCCTCGTAAATTCGCTACAACCTTACGAGGAAAATGTCTTTACGATGAACGTGTTTCGAGGAAACGCGTTTCCTCGTAAGTTCCTAGTAAAAGGCCATTTACTAGGAACTAACGAGGAAAACCCGTCCTAGTAATGGACGAGTTTTCTTGTAGTGTTGTGGTCAAAAGAATAACTAAGTCAATCTAATTTTAATTAAATCTGTCAAAATGAAGATATGTAGCCAAAAGGTAAATAAAATTTATCAAATCTTAATTAATCTGTCAAACTGAAATAAATTTGTGGTTAATAGAATAATAAATCTTTCGAATCTTAAGTAAAACTGTCAAATTGAAATCAATCTGTAGCCTAATAAAAATAAATCTATCAATAATGCATAAGTCAATCAAAATTGAATAATTTTGTGGTTAAATAAATTAAATATATTCTATCATTTTTTAAATATGTCAAAATAAGTAAATCTGTGATCACTATTATATATAGTTTTTTTTAAATTAAATTACATAATTTTATTTAGATTTGTGTAAATTGTTTATTTTAAAAGTTAATTTTTTATTTTTAAGAAAAATATTATAATCACTATTATATATAATTTTTTAAATTTAAATCTTTAAAATTAGATAAATATTTGAGAAATGTAACTTTTAAATTAGATTGAATAATTTATGAAATTTCATTTTTAGTTTTATTTGATACGTAAAGAACTTAAAATATATAAATTATTGATGCAATTATAATTACTAAATACAATTTGTAAACAAAAATAATTTTCCCCTTTGAATATACAAATCATAGTATATATATTTTAATTCTAATAAGAAAATAATAGAAGTGTCATAGCACATTGATAAATAAGATTGTATTATGTCTGTAGGACTACAGTTCGATTTTCAGCAAACGCTGATTTTTAAAATTTCCTCAGTTACAAAACGATGCTGTTTTATCTAACAGAACATATGTCAAACACAATGTTAGTTGAAATAGGTTTTCATGCTATAAATTAAAGTTTATATTGAAATTTTAAATAAAGTCTGTTCATGTATAATTTTGCATTTATGATTTGTTTGAGTATAAAAAGCACGATGCAAATGTTAGAGTCAAAAATGCTATATTCCCATATGGCTGTTATCAACGAGTGTCATGTGAACACGATGGAGCGAACAAAGAATGCGATAATAACTATATTATTCATCTATATGGCAAGTGTGAATCATATTACGGATATTGTTGTCATTAAACTTGAAAATAAAGTAAAACTGTCTAAAGTTGAAATTTAAACTTATTCATAATCAAACATGAGCAATCGTAAGAATATAAAAATATAAAACCTCATATGTGACTGTACCAAAAAACATATTAGAAACTCTGTATTTGAGTTAACTAATCATATAATCTCTATAATATTATTTGAGAAATCATCTTTTAGGTGTCACATTCACGTTAACTTTTATGGTGGTTGATTCCCTTAATGAATATTATTATTTGTTTTTTAAAAAGTCTCTAAATAACAATATAAAATAAAAATAAAACATTTATTATGTTTAAAAACTAATTTAAAAAAGAATGTATATGTATACATAATATGATTTCACAAAAAGGAAAATTCACAAAATAGTAATATTTCTTTAAAAGATACTTTTAAATAACATAAAATATATTTTTAAAATAATAAAATACATTCCTTATATTTGTATTTTAGATGAAAAAGATATTTTTATATAATGTGATTTCATAAAAAGAGATTCACACTAAAATTATTTACATCTCTAAGACAACAACCAACCGAAATGAAAATAAAAAATTAATCATAAATTAATATATTTTCTTTATAATATTAATTGAGAAGTCATTCTCTTAGGTGTCGCGATCACGTTAACTCTCACGGTAATTGATTACTCTGATACCTTTAGTGATTATTATTATTATTTTTAAAAAAATTTCCAAATAACAATAAAAATAAAAATAAAACATTTATTAAGTTTAAAAACTAATTTAAAACGAAAATTTATGTATACATAATATGATTTCACAAAACGGAAAATTCACAAAATAGTAATATTTCATTTAAAAGATATTTTTAAATAGCATAAAATATATTTTAAAAATAGTAAAATACATTCCTTATATTTGTATTTTAGATTAAAAGATATTTCTATATAATGTGATTTCATAAAAATAAATTCACACTAAAATATACTTACATATCTAATACAACAATCAACCTAAATGAAAAATAAAAAAAATTAATCAGAAATTAATATAGTTAGAATAAAAAATATTTATAGTTGAATTCAAAAAAAATAGATAGAATCTAATATATGTCTAAATAATAACTAAAAAATCAATCGTAGTCCATAGATTAGGACCAAGGTAAAGATCAAACACCTGTCTAATGTCACGACCATCGTAATTTCCGTATTCAAAGGAAGCTCTGATCAAATATTTACGCCCCTTCTCCACATTCAGATTGTAGCAGTTTCTTATGCCATCTGAAAAATATCTCAGGGTTTTGTATGGCTTGAGAAACCGACTCGTCAGATTTCCTTGAATTCTACCAGATTCCCCACTTTGGATGAATGTTGTGTCCGACGAAAAGTTCAGTCTTGTATTAATATCAATCAGTGTTCTAAAATACGCTATACGCTAGTCGGGCGGTTAACTACTTATAGCGTATTAACGTATATGCAGATATTTATATTAAAATTCATGAAAGATGTGAAATATGTGTCCCATATCGGCTTCTGTGAAAAATGAAGCTTAGCAAAAGCATTATAAAAGAAACATTTGGATGCTATCATTATCTCTAGCTTGGCTTTTATATATAATTAAAGACCATAAAATAGTGTGCATGTCATAACTAATGAAAATTAATGTGAAACCGTTTAGTCCAACCGAACAAGTAAAAACGGTACGGTCAGTCACAGTTCAGCGCCTGTTACATCGAAGGCTACTGATTAGCTAAGACTAGTCCTAGCCTAAAGAGTAATTTCAATTCATTCTCACTAATTTATGAATCATTTAGGGTAAAAGATTAACAAATAAGAAATCACAATTCCCATTCTTTTCCTTCAGTTTTCTAGAGTACTTGATTTGTGACCTTGCATGGCGTGGCACTCAAGAGTAACTAACATATGACCAGGGCGTGTCCTCTATGTATAGTGAAAATAGGATCTCTTTTGGTTTGGAACCATACTTTGGTACTCAAAAGCGTAATCATTAAGAACATTCACGGAACATCACTAGGGTTTGTACAGTGAGTGATTAATGATTATCATAAGCCTCATGCAAATCAGGGTTGAATCCAAAAGAGTCAAGCACATAGTAGAACCAAAAATATCACCAAACAAAGAAGAAACTGATCGCATACATTTTTTTACACGGTCATTGGTTGTGTTACTTTGCAGCACAAACACACTATCTCGCCCTGGGAAACATCCCAGTGTCAAAGCTTATGCTCACTTCAGAAGACGAACTCTGAGAGTCCATATTCATATTTCTCCTACACTTTTCAAAAGCAAGACACTCTTTCAGTTCATTAGCAACCTGGGACATATTTGGTCGGTTTACTGAAGAAGGATTTACGCACGACATTGCTAGTTCAAGAGCTCTCCATACAGATCGAGACTCGTAATCCCTGTGCAGGTTTGGATCTATAATGCTAGTAATATCTCCTCGGTTGAGCTCAAACCCAACCCATTGCGCTATGTGAGACCTTTCACGGGATTGGTCAATCACTGGTTGGTTTGTGATCATTTCCAATAACACAATTCCAAAGCTGTACACATCGCTCTTCTCACCCAGCCGACTTGTACGGTAATATCTTCAAGGCAAATCAAATGGTTATTATACTAATGAAAACTTATTATTAGCACACTGTAACTGTTGACTAATGATACTTACTCTGGATCAAGATATCCAGGTGTACCAGCAACAACAGTTGATACATGGGTTTCACCTCCAACAGGGAAAGATCTCGAAAGGCCAAAATCGGCGAGCTTCGCCTTTAACTGTTGGTCCAGCAATATGTTTGTCGTTTTGATATCTCTATGTACAATTGGTGGTGTGCATCCAAAATGTAGATATTCCAAACCTATCCAAAGGAGTGATTATATTGTTAATCCATCAGAAGAAAAGTTATTCTAATCTACTCCCATTGTTTAAGCGTAGTACTAACCTAGTGCAGCCTCCAGAGCTATTTGTAGCCGGCTGCCCCATTTGATAATGGATCCACCACGTTTTCCTGAATAGTTTATCCTTTAGATCCTTGTGAACCTTGTAAGTTATAAACATAGTCTAGCTAAATTCTCAAATCATAAAGTAAATTCAGGTGTTTACCAGATAGATGTTGTCTTAAGTCTCCATTTGGCATAAACTCATAGATAAGAGCCAAATGGTCTCCTTCGTCGCAATATCCAACCAGGCTTACCAAATTTGTATGGTGAACTCTTAGAAGAAGATCAACCTAATCATCCATGGGAATGAAAAACAAAAGACAACATAAGGGTATGAAGCTAAATTAAGATGATAATAATATATTTTAAGAAGATTATGCATATACCTCTGCCTTAAAATGCTTATAGCCTTGACTCGATGATTGAGAGAGTAATTTAACAGCTACTTGTTCGGAAGTATTTAGAGTACCGTGACACACCACACCAAAACCACCTTCGCCTACCACTGTTTGGAAATTATTTGTCATTTTCATAACCTCTGAATAAGTAAACCTCCTCTTTTTCGTCTCAATTGATGGTTCAGATGAAGTAACATTTGTATCATTCACTGTTGGCGTACTTGGTGGAAGTTGTATATCTATTGAGGAAACAAGTATGGATTTTAGAAGAAAAAAATATTCTTTGAATTTCTTTAATTAGTTTCTTGATTTGATGAGAGATCTCCTGAAAATTACCTTCCAGGGATGATGGCTTTTTTTTTTTGAGAACAAAAACAAGAATCAACACAACAATCATTATGGCTACAGAAGCAACTGATGCAACAATTATCAGTGGAAATTTCTTCTTGGAGTAGTCTTTTGTGCATGAACCAGAGATACAAAGCCTCGGGTTTCCTTCAACTCTGCAAGTAGAAGAGTGTTGTTCAAGACATCAAATCACAAAAGGCAGTAATACCAGATGAATATTTAAAAAAATATGTGGGAATTAAAGTTTCTTACAATAACTCTAGTCCATTTCTTTGAAGAGCTTGAGGAATGTGACCATTAAGATCGTTCCCTCGCAAGTTTCTATTAAAAGGTGTAATCACCATGCATAAAGACACATGCTTCAAACAAAAATTGAATTAAGTAATAAAAAACATAGGAGCAACTTACATGATCGTCAAAGATTTCATCTGGGCTAGAAACTCAGGCACCACTCCATTCAAGTTGTTATTTGACAAGTCTCTAAAGTTTAGATGCAAATTAAATTAAATATCAATTGGTTTACTTCCATCGACACAACCACCTATTTGTGCACTCTAGATGCTTACAGTTTTTGTAGCTGTGTAAGGTTTTGAATAGCAGGAGCTATGGTTCCAGTTAACCCACTTGAAGACAAGTTTCTGGTGATTCAAAAGCATGGATTATTAACATAATCTACATATAAGTATATGCATGAGTAATCTTACAACTTACAAGGACGTTATTCTTGGAGGTGTAGAAATATCGGTGTTGCTACAGTTCAAACCGTCCCATGCATACATATGAGGGACGCAAGGATCTCCTTGCCATTTGATTCTACTCAATCCATACGCAGCTTCAATATCTTTGATAGCAACCACTGGTGTGAAAGTTCAACATTAAAGGATTAAACATAATATATAATAAATATATCTTACTCACCTTAGCTATTAATAACATACCATCGTTTTCATTTGTTTCCGATTGTGGGAATTGAATAACGGTGTAGATCTCAAGGGCATTGAGCAGAGGAGGAAGAGTTGATCTCGAGGTTTTAACTAGCTGTTATCTGCATTTCCCTCCGTCGCAAGTCTCTGGAGAAGTATTCATGAAAGTATCAATCAGTAACTTTGAAGGAACAAAAGCTTCAACAGTAGCAGCTCCATTCCATAACACGTCAAATTCTCTAGTCTCGTTGGCTTGTAAATCTTGTATCTCAGCGAAGTGGCTGTACATGTAATACTCGTCACCAGGATTAGTCGGCGTCCAACTGATTGTTAATGGCCCGCTGGCATTAGATGGTGTAGCAGCGGATGCAAGCGCCTTTTTTGGTGGAGCATAATTGTTATCATTGCTCACTTCGAGGGTGGTGAAAATCTGAGTCCAACTATTCAAAAGCAAGTTATACCATCTACGATCATAAACATCATCCGGGTACCTATATATGTGAAAGCAAATAATGTATTAAATTAATACTACTGAAAAAGTAAAACGAATATGGCTTTAACTACTGTTGATGTTGAGGTTGACTTACCGTAGAAAACTATCAGTCTTGTTGGCATACATTCTAATGAAAAGATTCAGGGAGCCTGACTTTGTGTTGTAAGAGTTATTACCCAACGGCCGTAACTCCAAGGCTGAGATCATTGGTGTGGTTGTCCCTGTCTTAACAAGACATATTTGCAATGAGTTTGATGTTTGGGCGTGAATAATCTCAGTCACTGTACCATTCACAAACTCTTGCAAATCTATTTTTGCCCATGGATTAGGGCCTAGATGCAGATCAAACTGTGGGTAGGAGTTAAGACCATCGTAGTTCCCATAAACAAACCTAGCTCTGATCAAATATTTTCTGTTTTTTTCTACACTTAGATTATAACAGTTGCGTATCCCTTGGGGGAAATATCTCAGCCTCGTGTATGGCTTCAGGTATTCATTCTCCAGATTCGCCTGGATTTTACCGGTTTTGCCACTTTGTATGAACTTTGCATCAGACGAAAACCGTAGTCCGGTTACTATCTCAGTATAAGGAGATGGTTCAGTCGCAGGTAACCCGCAATCCAAACTAATGAACCCTGAAAAGAGAGATGAACTAAGAAGAGTGAGGATAAAAAAATGTAAAATGATTAAGACACAAAGCATTAAGAAGTGGAGAGTAATAATACCCTGTTGATCTTGAGCTTGAACAAGACCAATAATCATAAAGGCTCCTATTACCAGCAGAAAAGGACTATTCATAAATGCTAAGACTTCAAAACATAACCAATGTCAGAGTTTGAGAAAAACTCAACGTATATATATACAGATAAACCCACACGGATAAGAAAGTCAAGCCTCTGGCAACATGGCAAGGTGTCCTGAGTGTGGAAATTTTTTTTTTAAAAAAGAACTCAAGGTAACGAAAAGTAAATGTGTTTTATATTGCAACTAACTTGGCTATGACATTGGCCTGCCAATACATCTGTTTATAGTTTTCTTGGTTAAAAAATCGACAACTTGTTTTCCTCAACAGAATCTGTCAATCACAGCTTGTTATAATGTGTCAAGAAAACCAAAAAAAAAGGAAAATAGATTCATGATACCTTGTGTGGATGATAAAAGTAGAATTTATAGGCTAAGAGAAAGACTAATATGTTAAGTCAATAGGAGTGAGTAAATACAATTACTAGTGAAACTTGAACATGAGAATAAGAGGACAACAATGTCCTAAACATTATCATCATCAAATCACTCATCAGTCCTGCCAGCACGTTAAGGAATAAGAGGAGACAAAGTCTAATAATCAAGCTTATTTACGGTTGCAAATTGCATTTGACTGGGTCGAAAGAACAAAGGATATGATATTTAGGATAAAAGGAATATTAAAATGTTTATCTTATGAAAACCATAATAGTTTTAGTCAACAGTCTTTGGCTATTTTTCAAATTCTGTTGTTTCCATATTGGTACGTGATAAGGGTTTTTATGCCTTAGAGCAAATCGATTGTAGTATTTTAGATTGTCGAACCACAGAGAACTAGTGATCTAAGCACTAAGAGTACACAAACTTTCCTAATCTAAGCAAATAGAGAGTTTGATTTGTAACAAGCTAAGATCCTAAAAATATAAACAAGGTGATCTCAAATCCAATCTAGAAACAATCATAAGAACTACTTTTAATCAAATGATAAGGTAGAATCCATGGGATTAAGGTAATTGATCTAAGCAATTAGTTTCCAAGTGAAGGTGCAAGCTTCAAGCAATCACAAGTCTCTATAGGTCTAGACACTTCAATAGACAAACTCTTTCTCAAGATGGATGCCCTTTTGCAAAGATAACTCAAACATCTAATCTCTTAGGTTGAATGTTATCTAAACAAACATTATGATTTAGTCTACTAACCATCTAAGCTTTCTTAACATCAAATCTCTTTGGTTAAGTAAGTTTAGAGCAATACTA